TATATATATATATACATATATATAAGTGACTTTCGGGCTTTTGTCGCATTTGGGCAAGTGTCCATTCGCGCATTTATCTCATTCGGTCAAATGTCTTTCGGGAATTTGTCGTAGACCCATATACATATAGTTCCTAGACATTTTTACTAAATGTAAAAAGTTTTCGGAAATCATGTTATATTTGATTTTTCTTCTGTAGTGTCGTAATGTACTTGGTTGGACACAATTTGTGGGTTACCTAGTGACAGGAATTCAAGAGCAGATCATATTGTTATAGGAAACCTACAGTGTGTAAAATGTGACAAGAATGAAACGGAAAAAGTGAGTGAAGAATCCAGTGGATCGAATAATTACAGAATTAAATAGTGGATCGGATTGTGATGATATTTAAACAGTTCATCAAATGTGACAGGAATTGTGTTAAATTGTGACAATAATTCAACAGCATTTCAAATTTTACAATAATTCAACAGTGGCTGCAATTTTTACAATATATTAACAGTTTGTTAAATTGTGTCATGAATTCAACAGTGCGGCTAATTGTGACGAAATATCAAGAGAAGTTCAAATTGTAACTGTAGTCATTAAAATACAAGGCGGCAGGAAACCGAACTGGACCAGGCTGTGACGAAATTCTACGTTGGTCGAATAGCTAAGGGTACGTAATGTGATAGCGTATTGTCGTGTAGAGTATAATATAGTGGTTTATTTCTATAGTCTAGAGCAGGGGTCTCCAAACTACGGCCCGCGAAGTCCTCTCATCCGGCCCGAGAAAATCTTTTTGTCCAAGGAAAAATCGTCTGTTGGTGATGGCTGAGGAACTTTGCCCAGAAAAATCAATAACATGCCTGGAAGAAACTGGCCCCCGAACTGAAATTTTATAATTAATTCGGCCCTCGGACTGAAAAGTTTGGAGACCCCTGGCCTAGAGTAAAACGAGGACATTTGTTTATTAAGTCTTACTAGCTATGGATACCTAATGTTGGTCAAGCTTTAATAGACTTAAAACAACGAATTGTCGAATAGAATTTATAGAAGTGTTTGTCCGCCGTGAAAGTAGGCCATATGTGGTTCAAGACTTACAGGAAGCCTAAAGTGGGTTAAAGTATGGCAAGAAACTTTAACTGGATCATATTGTGACCAGAAGCCTACATACGCAATGAAGCGTACGGTTCAAGATGTATACCCCAGCCAAGTCGGGTTATTCGGTCAGGTGTCACCCATGCGGTAACGACAAGGTGTTCCCCTCCCCTCATATATATATATATACACACACACATATATATATATATATATATATATATATATATATATATATATATATATACATTGGTGTATCTGAAAGTACTATTGGATGTAGTAAATAAATGCAATGTTTCTGCCGGTGTTTGTTTTTTTATTCTACTGATGATGTTGCTTTAGAAGTTGTAGCTCGACTTGTTAAAGCTTGTTTCAACTATTTTTTTAAAATGTATTCAAACAAATAAGATACATTTGAAATAAATTAGGCAGACACTCTTCCATAGTGTTAGTAAACTATATTACTGGCTTCGTAAGCTTCTAGTTTGTTTGAGCTTTTTTTTTTTATCTTGCTGTTTTGTGTGCGCCTGCGTTTCATGTCAGGTATTGTATTACATTTGTGTTACACTTTTAGAGGCAATGAATTGTGTTAGGGGTGCTTTATGACGCGGGGATAATATAGAATGAAGGTAGATAGCGTTGGGATGTGGATTACGTGGATAGGATGCGGTTGGCTGGTTGAGGGGAGGGGGTCTGTCATAACGTGTGTGTGTTTTAATACAATAGGATTTTATAGTGTGTATGTTAATGTTAGGGGATGGGGGTTATCTATATGCTTTATGTATAATTTATTTTCAGTGTTAATCTCTCTTTACCTGTGTCATAAGACTTATATCACACAGTAATCTGTTGTGTAATGCGAGTTTGTGTGTATTTGAAAGAGGAAGTCTGGTGGCTAGATTGCATGAAGAAAGCGTATGGTACGGCATGGCGTAGCGGTAGAACGCTAGACTGTTAACCCGAAAATCTCGTGTTCGATTCCTGGTTAAAATTAAAAAAAAAACACCTGCCCAAGTCCAAGTATGATCTAACACACGTTAGTGAAAGTAAAAGTGGCTGGGCATAGTGTTGATCAAGTTATCCCCTGCAACTGAAATAAAAATTCTTAATGAGTTGGGCTAGTTGAAAAACTTACATTTCGTCGTTAATTACTGAAAAACGTTCGGGGGGCAAAGGAGATAATCTTCACGACAAGTAAACTTTCACACCTTGACATCACGGACATCGTAAGAAGCAATATTTTAGACACCTTTGTTTAAAATACGAGGTACTATATTTGGCATTTTATTGGCAATGATTCTTTTGTTTTTAAAGAGTTCAGTATCATTTTCATATTCTAGCATGCTTGCATACTGTATCTCAATTACACCAATTATTTATTTTATAGTAATCTATTGGTATGTGTTTCAAATTATATATCAACCTTTTCCTGTTTATCTAGCGTTGAACAATAAACTCTCAATGAGAAAATAAATATTGCGCGTATTTATTCGAGTATAACTTTAAATATTTCTCTATTTAGAATGTATTTTTTGGAATGTTCTCAATCATCGAAATAAACATACATATGCAATATACATACATACAAACGCAAATGCATGCATAAGTAAATCATAGTTAAAAATGAGGTAAATACACCAATTTAAACACACACATATAAGCTTATAGATATGTATTCATTAGGGGGTGACGCCCTTAGTTAACGTACTAGTTGACACCCGACCAATTGAAACCACTGCAGACAACTCGGTGTGTTTGGTGAAAGGCCTTATGTTTTGTTGGTATCGATTATAGGGAAATCGACTAACACGTCATTCATTTAGTTGCAAGAATGGCTGAAAAGGTTGGTTCAACTCATTTTGTTTATGTAATCATTTATTTTTATCGAAAATATATATCCACAAAAATCTATACATGCCTAAATTCAAAGCAAGAGCTTCTAATACAGTATGTTAGATATCGATTTATTTTTTACTCTCTTTTCATTGAAGGCTACGAATTTGAATTCTATACAGGCTGGTAGGTTTTGTCAAAGGCAACGGTTGCAAAATCTTATACGGTCGTCACTATGATATATTATACGCAGTGATACAATACGTATAAATCACTTGCATTTTAAAAAAAAAAGCATTGTAGAATTGTTCATAAATAATATTATCTAGTTAAAAAATAAATGTACACCCAAAACAACTAAATACAAGGAGAACTCGGGAACTTATAAGTTAATTGATTATTTGTATTAATTATTCGAGAGCTAAACAGTAATATTTAATTTCCGACACTTTTTAACTGATAAATATTTTAATAATTGATTACAGATCTCGATAGAAAATGACGATGATTTGCTACAGAAATGTATTGGGGTGTTTGGTAAAGGTATTTTCAATTATATATATATATATATATATATATATATATATATATATATATATATATATATATATATATATATATATATATATATATATATATATATATATATATATATATATATATATATATATATGCCTATATATTGTGTTATTTACATATTTTGTTTTGTTTAGTTAAAAATATAATTTATGTCATAGCTGTTTAAGCATATTTAGAAATACAAAAGTGTTTCGGATTTTATGTCTGTAAGATTGGGTGAAGGGTGATGACCCAATTGGCAGTGGGGGTTTTGGCACAGTTTACCTGGTGAAATCTTTGAGAGACAACAGTGAACCAAAATATGTTGTGAAAGAAATTCTAGTCTTTGAAAGCAAGGAACAGGAAAGTCTTGTGGTAAGATGGCATCTTTTGCTGATAGAATAAATAATTTGCGCAATGTGTCGAAATTTAAATTTATTTTTAACATTTTAAATAAGTTTAAGTTTTTGGTTTAAATAAATTTTGTCGTTTAGTTTTGTTTAAAAATAAAATTAATGACTAATTTGGGTACAAAAAAAATAATTTACAAACGAACTTCAAACTGAATTTTAAAAACAAATTACAATTAATATTAGACGTTAAACTAGGTTAAATTTTAATTATTTATTAATTATCAGAAAAGCTTTGAAAACGAGACAAAAATATTGAAGACACTTCGCTGCCACAAATCATTTGTTCCGTTTCTTGGAGCAAGTAAATGTGAAAAGAGCTTGTCAATTTTTATGGAATACATGAAACTGGTAAAATTTTAAATTATTGAAATTTGGGTTTTGTTATTGCGTTATCTGAAAGGAATCTAGATACATTTTTCCACACATATAAAAGAAACCACGACTACTAGGCTGTGTTGTGTTGATACATTACAGTTCAAAGACTTTTTCGTGGTTGATATAGATATTTTCTTCATACATTTTGTAAAGATAATTAATATCATGCAGTAAATAGGGGTTGTCTGTTTTAAAAAATGTGTGAGCAGGTATTGGTAAGTGTATGTTGTTCCAAAGTATTATGATAAATTATCGAATGATTTATTATTTTACAATAACCAACTTTTATGAACCACCGATGTATTAAAATCCAAACAATTAAGCAGCAACAATTGGGGTAGGCATATCACGCGCTCCCCCTACCCCATGTCACCTATTGTTAAAGCCACTATGATTAACGTGGTATATTTAAATTAGTAGGCTACGCGCATTGTTTTCCACATCATCATAAAAAAGAAATGATTAACTCTCTTCAATTCAAAACCAAATACCCTTTCAATGATATTTACATTAATTAATTTAATTAATACACTTTATAGTTATAAATATTTAACTTTAATGGTTTACTATATTTGTTGTTTTAGGGCTCGCTGAGAAAATATGCGGAAAGAAAAAATAGCTTGGGAGAAGAAGAAACAAGATGTTTTACAAGACAGATTTTAGAAGGACTGGCTTTTTTACATAAAAATAAAATTATACATCGCGATGTGAAAGGTAGTTTTTATAATCAAATTATAATTCTATGATAATGTGTATATTTTAAAAAAATTGCGTTTATTGGCAGGTTGATCTGGTTTAAAATATATTATATTATATATCTCTATTTCTTTAGTTCAAGAACGCCTATATGGTTGCGATCTTAATTAGATTGTATGTTTTATGATATGAGTGGATGTTTTGTTCGTAACACTACCATGTATGCGAGGTCAGTGGTACATTAAGAAAACAGCAACCAGTGGCCCCCGAATTTTAGAGGCCTCAAAGTTTTCTTTTACAAATCATACGGCCCCCAAACAACTTTATCGCCCATGTGTGGAGAATTTGTAATTGTTTGATAATATTTGGCGTTTGGGTACTGAATGGAGGAATGATCATCGGTTTTTGCTTCTTACTCAAATATTTTTAGAATTTTAATAACAAAAACAGTAACTCCCAGACGTGAAGCACTAGTAGCTGACTGCTCATTTTAAAATAATATAAAAATAAAATTATATCCTTCACATTCATGAATGCACCTTGTGCCACCCCCCTCCCCCCTACAAGAAAAAAAAATCTGTTAATCTGCCATAAGCAATCTTCATAGAAAGCACCAACGTAAAGTTAGTTAGATGGACTTCTAGGAAGAAAATGGCATTGGCACATTAAAACAATACATGCCTATGCCCCTATGATATTGTAGTAGCTTAAGTTCCTTTGTAGAAAGATAAGTTAACAGTCTTCCAACTGTGGTTGTCTTGAACCACTGATTGATTTATTGTCACCTAAACTGTGACCATTGTTTTTGTACTCCTTTAGTATAATTCCAGTTTCATGTGGATTGGTGAATTTTCAGTGATGCTTAATTAGCACATTCACGCGTTTTATGTACTTCAATTAGTATAAATCTAATACCTGAGTAATGAAAATGAAAATTGGTGAGACAATTTCTATATTTTTATTCATTGTTGTATTCATAAAAAACGTTTTAATGACAAGCTTTTATGCAATAATGGACTAAAAAGTTCGAAAATAAATTACACACTACTATTTAAATAACTATAAAGAAAAGCGTGGGTCACTTTGGTATCTATTGGATACCTTTACTTATATTTATGAAGAGACACATGCTTTTCTTTATAGTTATTTATATAGTAGTGTATCATTTATTTTCTACTTTTTAGTGCATTATTACATACAAGCTTGTCATTAAAACGTTTTTCATGATTGTTTTTTAGTACTAATTTTTTTAAAATTTGCACTAGAGTTGCATGACTAAAAACCATTGCGCACCTAATGAACATGACAAAGAGCGTATAATAGTGCGGAACTTTTGAATACGACTGCCTACTTATTTGGTCAAATTTTAGTTCATTCATAAGAAATTTATTAGGCATCCGATTAAGTCAAATTTTATGTCAGATTACATTGTCTTCATGTCTTGACCCACGTGCCAACTTTGAATCGAATCTATCCGTTAGAAGGTCCCGAAATTTTGCTCGAGCGTTTCGATCTAGAATCTAGACAAACAGAGAAGGCAAGTAAAATTAAAGATTAAAAAATAAAAATAGTTTCATGATAAACGTTTTAATAACAAACTTTTATGTAATGTATATTGGGCCCAAAAATGTTATTTTGCCGGGAGCCTTTTGATTCCAGTCCCACCACTGATAAATTATAGCAATGTGTTAACCACCTTTACCATAATCTGTGTTTAGGTAGTGAACACGGGGACGTAAATAAACAGGCCTTTCACTTAAACTCATTAGATCTAGGAAGAAAATACGTTTTAGAAAGCTAGTACCTGGTTCCATTCAGAAATATTAAATTTAGTTATTACGTTTCACATTATAAAATGCAATTTTTTCAGTTTTCGTCTTCAGATTCCAAACAAGTGGCACATAGAAAAATAATTTCTTTGCCTTATAATGTTTTTTTTTGTTTGATTTTTGTAGTTTTTTTTTACTTAATTAGGAAAGAATATAAAATATTCTCCCGTGCCGAAACCAAAACCCATTACCTTTAAGTTTGTAAAGAGCCTACACATCACGTTTTTTTTTCAAAGATGAATTTTATAATTTACGAGCCGACCCGCTGCGTATCATACGCCGCTATTTAGTTGTTTTTTTCTACTTTTCAGTAATTTATAATTTGTGAATTCGACAGTACCAATGCTGCCACTGAAAATATTTGCTTAAAAACACTAAACCCCCCTCCCCCCCCCCCCACGTGAAAGCAGCCTCCTCTTAGTTACCTCCTCTAAGTTTAAAATCGTTTCAAACTAAATTATCTGCCCCTAATAGCCGTCACCAAACCCGTCTCTATGATTGTAAAATGTAAACAGCGTGAACCACAGCTCACCAGACCATTTGAGGGGGTGGGGGTGGTAGCGATAGAGAGGAAGAGAGGGGACTGTCAGGCGCGCTTGCAGCTTGTTTTCTAACGGCTCCCAGAAGAGAATTATATATATAGATTTTTCTTGTTTAACTATATATATATATATATATATATATATATATATATATATATATATATATATATATATATATATATATATATATATATATATATATATATATATATATATATATATATATATATATATATATATATATATATATATATATATATATATATATATATATATATATATATATATATATATATATATATACATATATATATATATATACATAATATAAACATTTGATACTCAATTCTAGCTTAACCGGGCTTAGAAATAGTTTTTTCAATTTAAACACATTACAACATATCATGTGTGTGAGTGCATTAGTCGGTATTGAATTTTTTTCTTTTTTTAAGATTTAGAATAAGTCTATTCAAAATGTTTCCTTCAATACTGCCTCCACGCTAGTTATAAAACGTGAAAGCTTTGTATGTGTAATGGTTTCTCGTGTTATGTTTATTTTTATGTTTTTTTTTGTATTTATATTATTTGTTTAAAAAAATTATTTCTTTTTTTGCTATGGGATTCTTTTGTATGCATTTCTTAAAAATAATTATTAAGAGAAGTTATTGCTTTTTAATTTGTTTAGTACAAATATAATAAAAGGAGCTTATGGGCGCCCCTATTTAACTATTTGAAAAAGGCAAATAAGTCATGGACGTGTTTTGAAGGTTTGCCTATCTTTCACACTACAGCTCAGGCATATATTTTTTTTTACACAACAGCATGAGTTAGCTACTGTATAACCTCACCACTGTAGTAGATCTGTTTGTTATTTACAAAACCTTTTACCGTCAAGTCAAAAATGCGAGAAAATTATTGTTTTAACAATAAAAAATTTATTATGGTCTGGTATGGCCCATAAATGGCGCGGCCCCCCCCCCCCCCCCGCATTGCAGGGTCTGGCGGCACTGTAGTTCCGCCCCTGTATATATATATATATATATATATATATATATATATATATATATATATATATGTATGTATTCGTCATATTATATGCCAAGTTAAGTGGGTTAATGAAATTAAATTACTATTAAGATGCAATAATTCAATATTTAATCTGTTTATTACAGGGGACAACGTGTTAATGGAAGATGAAAAACATGTCAGACTTACAGACTTTGGGATTTCAAAAATTCTCCACGAGGTTTCTAGTACATCAACGTCAGGTGTCGGCACGGAAAGATGGATGGCACCAGAGGTCATGAATACACAAGCAAGCAAATCTAAATACAACGAGAGGGCTGATATATGGTAATCGTATAGACTTATTTAATCCAAAATTATATTATAAATATTTAACACTGGAGTCATAAAACATAGGCAATGGAATTAAACCCAGATTATAGTGCAGGCTGAAGTCGGAGTCAACAAGCCATATGTGGATACGCATACTCATTGCATAGGCCTATATACATTGTAAAATATCCCTTAAATGGCGGAGCTAGTATATAGATTCATAATCATTTACACGTTAATCATATTAGAATTGCTCTGCCACCTTTATTTTCCCTAAAATGAGTTAAGTACCCATCAGAGCTGGATGGACTCAGGGACGTTCTTTTGACTTGGACCCAGAATCGAATTCGAGATTTTCGGGTATGCAGTCTTGCTCTCTATTGCTGGGTCAGCAACCTAGCTCTTTACCGCTCTGACCTCGCCGTCACATATAACTGTAATTATTGCCTAAATATATCGAACATATTTACATGCAATAGTAACCATACATGAATATTGACTTATCATTATTTTCGTTCACGGTGTCTAACTTACGATCACGAACATACTTACAATTCTGGCGTTTTGTAAAAACCTAAATATTTTCACGGGGACATTTTGTATTACATTTTTTTTAAAATATATAAATAAGGTACACATTAAAATTCTTTACCTCGTGTAAACTAGCTTTTTTAGAAACGGCTCGATGATTCAACAGACAAAACTAACACATATTGCAATTCCAACTCAATAAAATCTTATAAAATAATTATGTAAAAGTATCTTAGAGGATAATATAAAAAAATTGCATATTATTAATTTCTTTTGTTTTTATCCTTAAATTATATTTAAAGGAGTGTTGGCTGCACAGTGATAGAGATGATGACGGGACAGTCTCCATACAGTAATATCCCTAACTCACCCCAAGTTATAATACAAATTCATAAGGGGATTTTACCCACCTTAGGAAAAATCGTTCCGTCACAGCCACTTAATATTTTTCTTGAGAAAACTTTTCAACAACTTCCTAAACAGCGACCATCGGCAAAAGATCTACTTACCAAAAGCAGTTTTTTTAATAGTAAGTTTTTTTTTACAAACATGGCCAGGTGTGTATTTTACGCTATCATTAAATTACAGAATGTCTACAATGTAACTACTTTCTTAAATTTAAAAATGTGTTGTTTTTTTTTAATATTTAAAACGTTGGTGTACTTTGTATTGCTAATTTTATCAAACAGGTGAACTTATCGGTAAAGAATTAAGGCAACCTAAAAAAGGTAAGTCTATTATTATTTTTTTTTATTGAGGTACGGACTTTACCGAGAAGAAAGATTATTTGGACATCAACAATTTTGTTAACAACAATATTTTAGGTTTGACACAACTTAAAAAGATGGTTATTATTGTAGTTTAAGATGAGATTCTAACATCATTTGTCTAATTTGGGAAACCAACACTTCATCAGAGCCTAGTTGCATTTAAACATACGTTTTTTTAATATTTAAACCTGAGGAAATTGGAAATAGATCCACCTTGAATGTTTAATTCCACTCGATCTTCCTTTTTTAATCCGTACATTTTTTATGTGGTCGCTTTCACCACTGCTCTCTCCATAATCTGTTTCAAATAATTTTATCATAATATATTATATCAGTTATACAGCTTCATATTTATGGTCAGTAAATACAAATATAAGGTTTCTTATAGTTTTAGCATTAGAGCTTGAAGATGGGACTGTACAAGTTGAAATATTTGCTAAGGGCCTACAACCAGGGAAAGATGTCCACCGTCCAAAAAATGGAACCGTATTGTTTGATTGGTTGAACAGGTTTGTTTTTTATTAGGACTTGAGTATGTTCAGTAGAAGCCCCTTATTTAAATATGTTATGGTAGACAAAAACAACTGCATATTTTTTATTTTGTCGATAGTTATGCAATGTTGTAGAACCGATTGTTAACATATGTATTTTTAACGCACTTTTTACTTTCTCGTATACAAAGTGTACAGAAAGTATTGTAATCGTGCAAAAAATCTAAATCGAGATTTTCACAAATCACGACGTTTTACCAATCCCTAAGTCTGAAAAACATAATTTTGTTATTTTGTACTTATGTGTGTGTAGTGGGGGGGGGTGTCTGTGTGCGTGTATGTGTGTCTGTGTGTCAGTTTGTCTATGTATCTGTTTCTGTGAACACGATAACTTGAGTACCGTTACATATATGTATTATATCAAATGTGTAGTTGTATTTGCACTTTTCGGCGATTTACGGTAACGTGAAGTGGAACTTATTCTACTTTTGGTTTTTCAAAGCCCTATAACTTGAGAACTTTTTCAGTTAAATAGACGAAATTTCACATATAATACAATTTTGAGTAATATCCGTTAACCGGAAGTAATACGTTATGCCTTTTCTAATTGCTTAAAAAACGCATAGGAAATTATAAAGTACTAATATTCCGCAATATTACTGTTCACGCGGTGCCCAAATACGTTTTTCTACGAGATTCGATTATATTTTTAAAAGTGAAGGTAATAAAAAATATTAACAATCATTAGTGTTTTGTATATCGTAAGTTTAAATGTATTTACCGGATAAGAAACCGTCATAAATGACCTGCTGCTCCTGGGTGTGACAGGTGCTGACATTTGTGACATTCCATGCCAAGGGGCATTTAAGAAAGTATGACATCATACTTTTAAAATTAAATTTGTCAGTTAAGTTGCAAACAAAAAGAGACCTTTCACACTTGAACTAAAAATAGAACAATAAAATTTAAAATTATTGTTTCTTGTCACTTTGCCGTAGTCAAATTTTTGTATTGTTCATATACCTTTAATAAGTATGATGATGTCTTAATTTGTTTTTAAGTGTTGATGTTTTAAAATACGTCTTTTATAATAATAATTGTATATCTTAGTCAGCAGGGATTTGATATAATGATCAAATTAGCTGACAGAACTGTTCAACTGATCGTTAAGAGAATGCCTGGGAAAATCGTCGGAGAAAAATCCACATGGCATGTATGGGATTTCAATTTCCTGATGAATTTCTCTATTTCTCTCTTTCTATCTCTCTTTAACACTCTCTCTCTCTCTCTCTCTCTCTCTCTCTCTCTCTCTCTCTCTCTGTTAGAAACATTGCTTTACGAAATACCTGTTTATCTGATGCTTACATTAGGACTTCATAATATTATGTTTTCCATATATCAAATATATTTAAAAAAATATATAGCCTTAGGGTTATTGTATTTTCATAAATAATGTTATATTACTTATTCATATTGCCTTCCTGTGTATAAATGTAACAATATATTAATATGCCTATATATTGCTCGCTGTTTTTCTCTTCAACGGTATATACTTATTCCAACAAGCCAGAGATACAATTTACAAAAACGATTTCAGGTAGAAAAAGATAAAGTAGTAATCAGGATGAAAAAAGCTGTAGATGTACCATGGGCAGATATACTTCATACTAATGGAATAGACATGGGCAGTAGCAGTAGTGAGGAAGATTAATGCTATGTAAGTATTAGCTACATGTAACAAATTTAAAAACAAATTTAACATTATACTAACTCATTTGGTTAACTTTTTATGTTCTTTAAACGATATAAAATTATAAAGACATCTCTCTCTCTATCTATATATATATATATATATATATATATATATATATATATACATTTATATTTAGATAAAATCGTTTGTCATTTGGGATTCTACTTAATAGTTATTAGAGCAAGCGTGGGCTGGGCCGTTGCGAGAACTTGAAAACACCGGTGTGCCACGACACATCGGTTCAATGGGCAGCCAGGGGACGTGCTGAAATAGACTTATTTTTGCTTTCATTTAACACAATTATACTTTGGTATATTAACCTTAACCTTAGCGAACTTAAGAATGTAACTATTTACCTACCTGCAAAAATCCAGTGGCGTAAAAATCCATGCACTGGGTCAGGCGCGGGCGCTCGGAAAGGGCGCGATTTGGCGCTATGGGCTAGACTGTGAGCAATATGCCCTTATGATTGCATTTAAATTGTGTTTATGTTATGAGTGTTGTGTTTGTTTTTTCGTTTGTGTTTTTTTTTGGGTTCGTTTGTGTTGTGTTTAGTTTTGTTCTGTTCCCAAGTTGGTACATTTAAAAAAGATTTACCGTGGCGTAGCACGGGATGCAGCTAGTGTATAAATAATCATATTAAGCAACGGTAAAAGTAATGTTCATTTGCCTTGAATCGGATATAAGATTTTAGTCCATTTTGTTTTACATTTACATTTTTTTACAAATAAATTCATTTTGTTTTACATACATTCATTTTGTTTTACATATGTTTACAAATACATTTATTTTGTTTTACATATATATGTTTAACAGTTTTATTATATTCACATGTTTTTTTCTCATTAACTATTATATAGAATCAGCTACACATTTTGTTTTTTACGATAAGAATGATGACTTTAAAATACAAAAGGGTGACTCATTCCACCGTGGTCGAAAAATGGTTTGTTAGATTGATATATCACAAAGATGTATCGTTATTTTATTATTTTAATGATGTGAAAATGTTATGGTGCGGTAGCTTGTTCAATATACTGCATCAGCCTCAATTTACGTTATTTAATCAATTACCCATGACACAGTTTTACTTTCTCATAACCAACTTGGAGCTACGTGTAAATTGTAGATTTGTCTTTCAAACTGGACTAATTTTATACACGCACGATAGCAAAATAAATAAACAAAAACAAGCTTACCTTAGAAGTGCACACATTTTTAATCTTTCTCATCCCTACAGGAGAGGATAACTCTAGAACAGTACCAATGGGCTACACTATGTGCTGGAGGAATGTCATCTACAATTTGGTTTCCAAAAAAAAATAAAAGCTAACTATTTTATCATTTAGATGGACACTTGTTTTCCTAATTTGTGTGTGAAGAGAAAAGATGTGAACATTAGTGGTTGTACATTATCACGTGACATTACTTTAGGTAGCTTTTTACCTCCCTCTCCTACCCAGTACAGTCACAAAGGAGCCATACTAACACTGAAATGGTGACGTCGCAAAGTTACAACATATTACCCCACCGATCAATAAATGAAAATATAATGAAAATTAACATTTTTAGCGTTGTTTTATGAAGTTCTTTATTACATTTCTTTAAAACCCATCACCTTTTCTTAGCCACGCGTTACTCCTTGTCAGAATAGCCCCTCCATCTGTAAAAAAATTAAAATTATAAGCAGCATGTTTGATTTGTAGAGTAAAACGAGACACAAACAAATCATAAATTCTTCCATTTTAAATAGTTATATCTATAGCAGACCTCCTAAGTTTCTTAAACATTAAAAAAAAAATATCATATTTGTACTTGTAGTTTGCACAGTTTAAGGGACATGATTATACATTATATATATATATATATATATATATATATATATATATATATATATATATATATATATATATATATATATATATATATATATTTTGATACTGGGTGATAAATAAAGACACTAACGTTACTGCCTATATTATTTGTCTATCTTAAAAGTAGTCTGCATGCAGAGTTTATTCCAAATACTTTATTTACTTACTTTCACTACAAACCTGGTGGCTACCATTAGTTAAAAAGAAAAACAAGTATATAAACACAATAAATAATTGACTTTCCTAATTAAACTATTTTTGTCCTTAAATATTTGATATTTATCTTTGTTTTTTAGATGTGCGACAGTCGGAAGGGAAAGGGAAAAGATAGAATCGTCAATCAAACGTGACGTTATTTATGTATTCCCACCCCCCCCCCCCCCTCCCGAAACCTACAGTTGTCCAAAGATAACGGGTAGTCTAGTAGTAATTAAATGAAAAAAGTATACTGGCATAAAAACTAGATTATACAATCATTAGGGGATGCAACTCTATTTCTTCCGACGCCTTCCTGTTGTCCAATAAACTATGTCGCGACCCAAAGGCCAGAAACAAAAATGTCGCTCTGATACTGATCTATCATTCCGTGTATTATAAATTTGCCTTGACATTTTTTTAATGTCTGAAATTTGAAATTTTAAAATCGTACGACTTTTAACTTTTGATAAAGCAACTAGTACATTGTACATTACGCTTAAAATACCTGATTGAAATTATGTGTAATTATAAATTTGCCTTGACATTATTTTAATGTCTGAAATTTGAAATTTTAAAATCGTACGACTTTTAACTTTTGATAAAGCAACTAGTACATAGTACATTACGCTTAAAATACCTGAATGAAATTCCGACAAATACCTTGTGACAAAACCTATCGGTCTCTATATGCCCTTTAGAACGTCCATGTTTTGCTTTTACCTGTATAACTAGTGCATGGGGTTTATCGAACGATCGATAACAGCCAACCAAATCCTGTTATGTCCCTTGTTTTTATTGATTGTGGTAATTTTAAATTAAATTTTAAATTAAACATTTAGATTGAAAATTAGATATTCTTACTTTTCTTCGGAGACGAACGTGTCCGGTAAGTTAAAACAAAATCGTTGAAGTAAAAGCGGGCCTTAAATTACGTTGCAAGATTTTCACAAACTTACAAAAAACGAGCAAGCAGTTATAGTGAAATATATATAAATTTATAACAATATTTTGCTATCTAAAAAGTATTATAGCAATTTATATTGACGAAAAAAGTTGCGAAATATTCCATCTCGTATTTGAAGATAGCGAACGGTTGTTGCGTTTACATTCATGGTAATGGTAAAGACACGTTTAAAAATTAATAATCATTGAAAGCATGTATGAATATATATATATATATATATATATATATGTATATATATATATATATATATATATATATATATATATACTTACATATATATACATATATATATATATGTAAGTATATATATATATATATATATATATATATATATATATATATATATATATATATATATATATATATATATATGTAAGTATATATATATATATATATATAAATATATATATATATATATATATATATATATATATATATATATATATATATATATATATACATATATATATATATATATATATATATATATATATATAGGCCTATATATATATTTACATACATACATATATAAATATAAATGTACACATGTGTGCGTGTGAGTGCATAATTGCTGGAGAAATAATGAGACGCTGTTAAAATGAAACAAAGAACGTCCCGCTCACAGGAAGCAACGTGATCAGGTTGCTATCGATCGTTCAATCGGTCCAATCAAAGTCTGTGAACTGAAAGCCAAACATGGACGTTAAAATGAAGTCTATTTTGTTCTGAGAATGCTCTCAACATTGTTCTTTACAGCTCAGTATCGACAGATCATTTTCTGATCTAAGTACAAATCTCTTACTAGTAGGTAAGTTGTGTTTAGTGTTTATAAACTGCTTAGATAGTTAGATAGTTTCGACAGATTAGCACACATTGAAAAAATATGCCATAAATGTATGTGAGATCAATAATAGACAGAGAAAGATAGTTGAACAAATTGATAATTAATCAGTAAACAATCAGGCATCCTGACAGAAGGATAGACAGACTAAAATACCAGTTGTATATGTATTCAGGTATTCATGTATCCACCTTTTAACAAATTTCGCATTAATTTTACCTAGCAAACCATTCCCTAGGCATTGATTTATCGATTGGTGTTGATGGAATTTTGCTAAACATGAGTTTGTCGCTGATCAGTAAATCAATAAAACAAGGCACAAAGACAAAGCGCTGTCTTAGTTATATTACCAAGTAGCCTATGATCTTCGCGTAAAAACCAACTCACTTCCGGATATGGCTGCTAAAATGAAACAAATGACGTGTAAAGTTTTATTACTGATTTTAAAAAACTATATATATTATGCAGTGGCGTAGCAAGGATTTTTGGGCCCTTATGCAAACAAATATTATTGGGCTCTACGTCAAACTGTAAATTGTGTATTTATACTATTTTATTATGTAGTACCCCGTAACGTAAAATACATTCTATTTTGTATCACTTTTATGTAAAAATAAGCTAATTAACTGTCAGACTGTAACATTTAAGTAACCCAACACAGAAGCGTCACAGGGTAGGGTGCTCACAATTTAGGCGTGACACCGAGACGAAAACTCATACACTTTACTGTCAAAACTGTTTTCTTCAGATAAAATAATAAAATATTAAGGAGATGGAATAACACTCCACCCACCGGAAATACAAAATTGTTAGACGTGGTGGGGGTGACACTCACTAAATGCAACTGATACTATCGCACCTTGTGACGCCACTAACCAAATACAAATTTTAAAAAGTTGCTTATGATTTATTTCGATTTTTTTTTCTTTCTTATAAGTTTGCAAAGTGAATTATATGTTCATTTAAGTCCATTTTAGCTGCTTCTGTATGTTCGATACTTAGGGTGGCCAATTAAATGCCCCAAAGGGCATATCTACAACTTGTTTAATAACATCATATTAATGGAGAGACTCAAGGCACCCAACCGTATATTATTGCCGAGGCGGCTGGAGGACTCTTTAGCAATTGATTATAGTAACCCTCCGTATCCCTTGGGTATGGTGTTCAATAAAACAAGTGTATGCGCCGTAGTGCTCACCATGGAGCCCGGGGTGCCGGCTGATGCACCTGTGCCTTTGGACACGTGAATTAAGCAATAACCCTGACCCCTTGTCAGTGGCGTAGCGAGGTCGGGTGTCACCCGATGCGGCACTTAATGGTGTCACCCCCTCAGAGGCGTAGCGACCCTTCCCGGGGACAAACTTTCAAATTTTCGATTTGCACCCCCCCCCTCAAGTTTTTCTCTATATATTTTGCTATTTTTTGCCTTGGTGTCACCCCCCTAAATGGTGTCACCCGGTGCGGTCCGCACCCCCACCCCCCCTCGCTACGCCCCTGCCCCTTGTGCAGGACAACTAATTAACTGACCCCAGGTGCTCAGAAAGCACAGCAAAACTCGGCGTGGCAAACCGAACCACCTTACTGACAAGGAGCCGCTCTCCGAAGGAAATAAAAAAAAAATTAATGGCAGAAAACTTTGCATGAGTCAGAGTTTCTTTCTGGCCTCTCTTCGAGGGCGGAGGTACTGCTTCTCGTGTGTTGTTGTGGTAGCAAATTTCACGGTCAGTAGAGGTTTGTCTGAATTATTCCAAACGACTTCCCAATGTTTCTTGGCCATTGGATCATTTTTGTATTAATGCTTATAAGACAAGGAGACAGACAAATAAAAATCGTTAAGTAGCGGCATATTGATTAGAAATAAATTAGATCAACAAAAAAATTGTGATTAAGGTTAAAATGCAGAAAAACATTTACACATTTTTCGACTTAGATTGTTGTGAAAACACTGTCCACGCCTGTTAACCGAAAAATGGCTTAATTGTAATCATGGATGGATGGAATTTCGTTGAGGACAAAGTTGTAACGGTCGAATGTAGATGAATGTATGTTTAGAGTATGTGTTTTAAAACGGCGATATGGATCAAGGATAGAGTATGGGTGTGCATATGCGCTAAGGAAAGGAAGCAGGGAGAGATAGAGCGCGAGGAACATGGCGATGTTTTGGCAGTGGAGGCGTTGTATCAATGAACCAATAAAAGCATGAACATTTCCTGAATGTGTCTTGATTTTATGCCATGAAGCTAACAGTATAAAAGGCCGTGACAAAAGTGTTGAGAGGTGAGTGGGGTGCAGGTTTGTGGTGGTGGGGTAGATAGTTTTTAGCAATGCGTATAAATTTGCGGGTGCCGGAATGGAGTCAATCTTGCCGGACAATGCAACAATGCCTATAATGTTATTAATACCCACGGGCCCTATACAGCGCCTCCCCAGTAAGAAAGGTTTGGGGACCTTTTATGGAGCTTTTGAATACTTCTACAGTAGAGTAAAACTGGATTTCCGTTTTCTTTTTTAAATTACTTTTTAAACTAATATTAAAACTCCTATGTAAAAGTTTTTAAAGACGGAAAAGGGCCCCTATGCCTTGCTTACGTTAGCTTTATGGTAGCTACGCCACTGATATTATGATAAATTACAAGTGTATGCTACTTTTGAAACGCATTTCATTATTACATTAATTCTAAATAATAAAATATTATAATATATTGTCTCAAATAGCCTAGTTATCTATCTTTAACGTGTTAAACGAAATCTGATTTTTGAGAATATTCACTAAATTGTTATTCATAGCACGGATTCGTTATATATTTTTTAATCTTAGTACAATTCTCTTACAAGTAGGAAAGTTGTGTTCAGGGAATATAAACTACTTATATTGTTAGATAGTTTCAAAGAATTAGCGCACAAAAAATATGACATAACACTCTATAATATTAATAACAGACAGAGAGTTAAGCACATTAATAAATCGACAGAAAACCCCTCATACATCCTGACAGTAAGATAGAGAGACATTTTTTTACAGAATAAAATACCAAATGCATATGTTTTCTTTATGCACCATTTAACACAACAAGCACCGATTTTGCCTAACTATTGCCTAAGAATTGATTTATCGATCAGGGTTGCTAAAATTTCGCTAAACAAAAGTTTGGCGCTGATCAATACTAGATCAATAAACAATCCACATAGAATAAGAGCTAACACGTTTGTGTCATAGTTATAGTACCAAGTATGAACTTCAAGAAATAATGCAACGCCTTCGCGAAATTAAAGACTGTTTGTTATAGAATTTTGAAAGTATGAATGCCAAAGGTAGCAATCATCCAGAAATTGGTTCTACGCCCTTAAAGCCAAACATCACAGATACATCTTTTTACTTTCTCGTATATACGTAGTATAGAGAAAGTATTGTAATCGTGCAAAAAAAAAAAAATCGAGATTTTTACAAATCTCGACGTTTTACACCTCACTGATACGGAAAAACATAATTTTGCAATCTTGTCCGTATGTCTGTGTGTGTGTCTGTGTGTGTGTCTGTCCGTGTGTAAACACGATAACTTGAGTACCGTTACAGCTAGGTTGATGAAATTTCATATATAAGTATTTTATCAAAATCGTAGATCCGTATCAACTTTTGAGCGATTTTCGATAACCGGAAGTGGTACTTTTCCTACTTTGAATTTTTTAAAAGCCTATAACTTGAGTACTATTTCAGATAGATAAATGAAATTTCACATGTAAGTAAAAGATTCCGTTGACTGGAAGTAGTAATTTACGCTACTTCCGATTTCTCTAAAAACTAATGTAAATTTTTAAAGTACTAATAATATTGCGCACTATTATACGCGTTTTTATTCGGCGTTCGCTTGGAATTAATAAAACGTCATCTGAGGCAGTGCTGGTGGTCACTCCATGCTAACTGGACCAGGCAATACCTCTGGCTCGTCAGAGACCACTTCATAAATTCTAGCCGGTACATCGTGAGTGTGTGCGTGGGGGGGGGGGGGGAGGGGATAAGTGTAGTTAAAAGAAAAAAAAGGTCTAAGAGTGACGGTCTACTTTTGGTGATGCCAGCGTCCTTTTTTTTGTTCCGTTACAACTTAGACAGTAATTTTAAGTTAATCTGATGTCGTTATTTTATGCAGGAGATTACACATTTCTTGGAAACAAACACTAAATGAGATAAAAATTGAAGTTTTTTAAATCAATTACATTGTGCTGTATTTGTAACGATACTGATCAATAATCTTTTCTTGTTTTGTTTTCTAAACGCTGTGGGACAGTGGCGTAGCCAGGATCGTCTCAAGGGTGGGGGGGGGGGGGGTTCCAATTTTTTCCCGGGTACAAACTTTTGATTTGGGCCCGCCCCCCTCAAACTTTCGATTTGCACCCACCCCCCCTTCTCAAACTTTCGATTTGCACCCCGCATCATACTTTATATATATATATATATATATATATATATATATATATATATATATATATATATATATATATATATATATATATATATATATATATATATATATATATACCGAAGGGTCTATGGGGGGATTATGACCCCCCCTAACCCCACCCCCCTGCCTACGCCACTCCTGTGGGAAATAGTGAAGAGATATTAAATAATATAATGTAGTCTAACATTTCGTACTTATTTCAATAATATTCAATATATTTGCTTTGCAGATATGGCGCTTAGTATACGTTTAACTGGATCTGTTCTGCTTCTAGTAATGGTATCCGTTAAAGGAAGTTCTGACAGAGGCAGAGGATACTTGTGGCTAAATGAGGGAAAACGTTTGCAATCTAAATGTGACAACAGAGACGATTTTATTATTGGATTCTACAAGAGTGATTTACAAAGTTGGAATGATACATATTTAATGCATACAGAACATGCTGAATATTTTAGCCGAATATCACCATGGGACCACACCAAGTCTCAAGTCGTATATGTTGGTTGGCCAAACGCCTTAGGTCGAGAAAATTCATGGGTTGTCTGCCCATCTGGTTACTTTTTGAATGGTTTATATAAGATAGAAAAAAGTAAAGATCCATTAAACAATATAGAGAAAGGACGATGTGTCAAGCCAGCAGATTTCCCTACAGACTATGAACATCGTTACGACATTGACACTTCCAGCTGTTTTGATCAGACAGACCTGTGTGTATGTAACACGGGTTATTATGTTACAGGATTGTATCAAAGCTCATGTGATGGAATCTTCTGTGTCAAACAGTTTCGATGTTCTAAATTAGCATCAGCACCTGAACAGCTTAATGAACTTTATAAAGTAAAATCTCGCATCATGGATTTAACAATGTCAGACACGGCTAAATTGGCTAATAAACTTGGTTATGCTTGGTGCGGAGGTTGTAGATCGGAGGCGGTAGGAGAAGATTTTAGGAGAGAAGGCGACACGTGGGTCGCCGATAAAAGTGGTCGCTGTGAAGGTTACATGAGCGATAATCGTTTAAGAATGGTGTATGATGATTGGAGCTTTGAGATTAAGGAAATCGCATATGGAACGCCTGTTGTTCAAGACTTAATAATGGAAACAATAAACACTGGTGCAGTGCATAATAACCAAAACACGGCTGACACACGCACTGTAACCAATTCTGTGATTAATTCTCGAAGAGTCACACACACTACAACTAGTTACTGGAAGAATAGTAAAGAGCTGAACGTTCAAATTGAATACAAGCCATTCAATATTGGAGGGACTGTCTCCTACAAGTTTAACTATGAGACAAGCACAATTACGGCAAACGAAACAAACACGGAAAACACTTATATACTACAGGACACAACTTCCAAAGTTTTAGAACCGTTTACTGCTGCTAATTGGAGATTTGTGCTTTCGAATACAAAAACCTCTGTAAACTACACTGCTACTATAATTCCAAAGTTTTCTATAGAACTTCAAGGTTTTCTACGTTGGGGCGGGCGAGCAGAAAATGCACATACAAATTACCATCATCAGCATCGCGGTAGTGAAGCTCGTCCAACTTTGAGCTACAAATTTGGAGATCCTGATGTACCTTTCTACAAAGCACTGAAGCGTCTGAGCAGGGACGACTCACTACCTTGGCTATGGAATGATCTAGCAAACGCATACCCTGACTTGGACGATTTAATTACTCGTTTATCCAATGAAAGTCAATACAAATTCACTATTACTGGCAGGTTTGATGATGTAAAAGGCAAGAATGCTGTTTTTAATTGGGACGCTGCTACAGTGCGGAAGAGATCGATCGATATTAGAGACAAAAATTCTAACAAGATAGCTGATAACGCTACGATCTTTTCCAATGATTCGTTGAACGACGTTCCTTTGTCTTAATAAAGTTTCAAACAAAACGGAAAACGTTCCTCATTGAAAAGCAGGTCAATTATTTTTAATTTCTCGTAAATGAAGTGCAGGGGGAGTTTTGTAGTCGTGCAAAACATTTAAAATCGAGGTTTCAACAAATCTGGACGTTTTACGCGTACTATAGTCGGAAAAAAATCGTAGCTTTGAAAACATGTCTTGTTTTGTCTAGCTGTGTGTACGTAAATACAATCACCTGAAAATATATCGTATTATTTTTACAAATCTTTGTTAAAACTTTGATGGGGAACCACTATTCACCATAAAGTAAAATTAAGAATTAAGAATTAACTTTTTTTTCTAAATACTACTACTTGCGATTTTAACTAACACAGTTTATTAAATCATTCACTTTTTTTCTATTAGCTGTGAGCACTATTAAATGTACTTTATTATGATACTTATTTATGAATAGTTAATTATTTTTTAAGTGAAAGCTTTTTGTTAAATGCAAATTACGTTTTATTAGATAAAACAATTAGTGTGTTGTATGTACATGAAGATAACAATTGGTGCTGCCTGTTAAATAGGACCGAAGAATTATAGATCATCTGTTTATGTAAAAACAGTATATTAAGCAAAAGTGGTCCAACAGTCTACAACATCCCTCATTTGAGCAAGTAAACAATAAGAGGTGGGTGAATTTATAAACTTCCTATGGACTTTAGACCTAGATTTTTTAAAAAGGAATAATAATCTCTGTTTGGTAGCAACACAGTATCAAACCAGTCGGGCGATAAATTGTAATTTACTTGCTGGACTTTCATTGCGAGTTCTGTCTCTTAGATTTGGTATTTTTAATAACGACACTGTTTTATATGTTAACAATTTTTATAGTGTGCATCTTGTCTTTGAAAATTATACAATACTGTTTATTATTAATTGGATACTTTTACTAATAATAAGAAGAGATCAATGCTTTTCTTTATAGTTTTTTATTATAGTTTGTAGTTATAGTTATTATATTTTTAAAGAAAATCTTGTATATTCTCCTTTTTGTACATCATTGCATAAAAGCTTGTTATTAAAACGTTTTTTATGCATTTTGTTTTAGTACTTTATAATTTTTAATACAATAGAGTTTCATGACGAACCCTAACCCTAAGTAACCCTAACCCTAACCCAAATGAACATAATATAGCGCGCATTATAGTAGGCTACCTATTTCATTTATAAAGTATTATTTAAATCATTAAAAAAATAATTAGGCATCCAATTAAGTCAAATTTGATGTCAGATTGCATTATCATTGGGTGTTAACGCACTTGCCAAGTTTGAAACGAATCGGTTAGTTAGAAATTCTTAAAATTGATTTGCGGGTTTCACAATTCATGGAAAGAAAGCTGTCTGAAAATAAAGCAACTGATCGTGCATCGCAGCTATTTTAAGACATGTGTCGAACTCTTGTTTTAACGTTCTTAAAGGGAGGAGGAATCAAATCACTTTAGCAGAATTACTTTTTTCAGTAAATTTTAGTTCAGCTCCATAATGTTTAGGGATAAAGTGAAGCAAATACAATTTACCGAGTATGTGAATAAAAGACATAAAGTAACAGAAAGATTGAGTATTTTAACAGTGTTGTGTGAGACTCAAAAAAGAAAAGGTCCTTTGCCTATCAACTAAACCCTATACATCTGCCAGTGTCTTCCGTGAGCTTAACTCAGCTGATTTCCAAAGATTTTATACTTTATAAAACTAGTTTTTTATTGTTTTATACAACATGTTATTTATAAGTCCTGTTGCTTACTTTTTTAAAAGTTAAAAAAAAAACAGCAGGAGGCAATTAGATGACTGGAACGAATTAATTGTATTTCTCTATAATAACAATGAAGAAATTCGCTTTAAGATACGAGCAATGTTAAAGAACGAATTTTACTCGTATAACGAGGTGCCAATGTACTAAAGTATATATACAACATTCAGACATATTTTTGAAAACCTATTATTATTTCAATATAAGACAATTAATCTTTAAAATAACAAAAAGCTTATGTACGCTTCATCATGTCATATCTTTTTTTAATACTCCTTAGAGAACAGTTATTTCTTTACAGCTGTATTAAGATACATCCGCATATGCATTTCCATTTAAAAAAATGGTGGAAAAATCTTGGTAACTATGACAACGTCGGCCATCTTGAAAATTAACCACCTCGTAGGTTTTCCAACATTCTTAAAATACTATATTTTATGCCCAATAAAAATGAATTCATAATCTTCTTCCATTTTTGGGGGGACTCAACTAAAAATTTTAAGTGCATATCTTCAAAATAATTTATTATGAATTTTCAAAATTTGTGTCCGTTCAAAAAACTTAATTTTGGAGAGTTTTGGGGCTTTAAATTAGTGTTTTTAATGGACCCACAATTTGAAAATTCATAAAAAATTTGTTTGAAGATATACACTAAAAATTGTCCCTGTGTCCTTAATTTTTTGTACACTATAAAATTAATGTAGGCGCCTTAATGCTCGCAAGGAGAAACCGGGGCGTCAAATTGCACTTAGCCATGGCGCATCTTTTCCACAATTGTATTTTTGTTTTCGCACAAACCTTTATGGGAATGTTATCATCATTTTTACTTTCTCGTGTATACGAAGTATAGAGAAAGTCTTGTAATCGTGCAAAAAAAAATAATCGAGATTTGTACATTTTTACAAATCTCGACGTTTTACACCTCACTGATACGGAAAAACATAATATTGCAATCTTGTCCGTAGGTATGTGTGTCTGTGTGTGTGTGTGTGTCTGTCTGTCTGTCTGTAAACACGATAACTTGAGTACCGTTACAGCTAGGTCGATGAAATTTCAGATATAAGTATTTTATCAAAATCGTAGATCCATATCAACTTTTCAGCGATTTCCGATAAGCGGAAGTGGTACTTTTCCTACTTTGAATTTTTCAATAGCCTAGAACTTGAGTACTGTTTCAGATAGATAAATGAAATTTCACATGTAAGTAAAATATCTAATTCTCTACCATCTGTCAGATTGTGAGTAATTTCCGTTGATCGGAAGTACTAATTTACGCTATTTCCGATTTCTCAAAAAAACGCATGTAAATTTATAAAGTACTAATAATATTGCGCACTATTATGCACATTTTGTTTTGGCGTTTGCTGGCTTGGTGCGCAATTCTTTTATCTACTAAATTTTATTCTATTTTTAAAAGTTTAAGTAAACAAAAATCAAGGGTCATATTACGAGTAGCCATCCCACGTAGTGTTATATATAAGAATATTCGAGAATGTTTAGGGGAGATCACTCCCGGTTTATTAGAACTGTAAGCTAGATTTTTGTAATATATATTTTATGGGCAAGGGGAAACAACCAATATTTTGTTGCAAAATAATCTAATCATGGTTAATTCCACTGATTTTTTCAAAAGTCTATATTCCTCAATATCATTTTGGAGACGCAATACCGTTGTAAGTACTTGGGGGCCAAAATTATTTTTTTTTACGCAGAACCTTTCCTGGGATTTGTGTCAACCGCTCCTCTAAGTTTCATGGTGATTGAATGAAAGTTGTAATGTATTACTAAAACACACACACACACACAGAAATAATAATAAACATTAAACCATTTATGTTTTTAGTATAAGCCATTGTTGTTAAGCCATTTTTAAAATGGGCATTTATAGCGATGTCATTCTTGTTTGTGTTTTATTTAAAAAAATATGTTGCCGGTTTCTTATTTGAAATAGGTAATAGGAAAGTAAACTACTAAGGTTCAGTTAAAAATAGTGTTAGGCTAGTGTCACGCTAGTTTAGGTTAGAAGTCAAGTAGATGGTAGAAACAGACTATAGCTTAGTTAGTTTATAAATAGTGTTAGGCTAGTGTCGCGCTAGTTTAGGTTAGAAGTCAAGTAGATGGTAGAAACAGACTATAGCTTAGTTAGTTTAAAAATAGTGTTAGGCTAGTGTCGCGCTAGTTTAGGTTAGAAGTCAAGTAGATGGTAGAAACAGACTATAGCTTAGTTAGTTTAAAAATAGTGTTAGGCTAGTGTCGCGCTAGTTTAGGTTAGAAGTCAAGTAGATGGTAGAAACAGACTATAGCTTAGTTAGTTTAAAAATAGTGTTAGGCTAATGTCACGCTAGTTTAGGTTAGAAGTCAAGTAGATGGTAGAAACAGACTATAGCTTAGTTAGTTTAACAGACCAATACAAAAACAAGAGCTGACCGGCCACGTGGGAGGTCAGCTGACCAATGGAGCATAGAAGAAGGCAGACGATGATAGGTAGTAGTAGAGAGTGGACGTAGATATGTAGAGCTAGGGAACAGTTAGAAAGAAGTAGTAGTAGTAGACGGTATATAGTATAGACTATGTAGATAGAAGTAGGAAGTTGATTGTGTAAAATATAGAACATTAAATCGTAAATTGGACTTGTGTATGGGGATTTCACAAACTTTTACCAGACCTGTTTCATCATCTACTCAGTAGCGTAGCGAGGGGGGGGGGGGCGGGGTGGGGACATATGTCCCCGGACGCCGACCTTAGGGGGCGCAAAAATGGGTCGGAAAAATAAATTGAAAGATTGAGAGGGGGGGGTGCAAATCGAAAGTTTGAGGAGGGGGGTGCAAATCGAAAGTTTAAGGGGGGTGCAAATTGAAATCTTGAGGGGGGGGGGGGTGCAAATCGAAAAGTTTGTCCCGGGCGCCGGGAAGGGTCGCTACGCCTCTGCCCACCCTAACAATCTCCAAACTACGCCCCCCCCCCCCCCGGCCGGATGAGAAGATCTCGCGTGAGATCTTTATGTCCACGGGAAAAATCAATGTTTGTTGGAGGTGACTGAGGAATTTGCCCAGAAAATTCATAGCAATGTAAAAGTGTAGCTTTGGGTGCAAATACCTTTACTCGCTGTGAGGATGTTGAATTTAATAAGGTCACATGGGCTCAGTGATTTACCATATTACACAGCAGTAAGATGGCAAAGTTTTGAGAAAGGCTGAAAATATTCAAACAAATAATCACTAGAAATATTACAGTAACTTGGCTAACACTTTTATTTTTAATTTTTATTAGAAGTCAGGGTGTTGTGGTGATAGGGTATGTTATATTATTTAATATGTGTAAACTACTACACTACACCCCAGTGACTGTTGTGTTCATTTCGTCATGAAAAACAATTGTTATGACTTTCATTGTATTGATGTTCAGGGTGGATTTTTAAAAATATTTGAATTGATAAAATTATTCAAAACGGATTTTCAATAGCTTATATTCAATACTAAAAATATGAGACTTAATGTAATCTACAGTTCACAAATAGGATTTTTCAAAAAAATTAAACGATAATTTTATCGTGTGCCGTAATTGTTTTTGTATGGTATGCTTATATATATATCTTTTTCATGTCCATTGCATATACCTATTGTTCTAAATGGAAATCAGAGTTAAATACTTCATCATTTCAGCTGATGTTCGACACATAACATGTTGGGGCGATGAGACATGTTGTTATCAAGTTAGTTAGTTCGTCCGTGGTAGACGAGTACTAACTGCCTTAGTGGAAAATTACAAGTAGAACTAAAATATAATTTTTAAATTTTAGATATTTTTTTTCAGAGAAACAGTCATAATTTTAGTAAAATAATTTGCTAACGTATTCATCACACGTTAAAAATATAAGTTTAAATAAATGCTACAAAAATGCAACTGCCCATAAGTTGATACATTTTTACATTATTTAACGTACCTTGTATTATCACTAACCTTCATTTAACAAACTATGGTCTAAAAAAAATGATAAACACATCTTAGAACAAAGGCGTATCGTTCAAATTGTAAAGAGATCACATGATGCAAAATCTAAAATAACAAATCACATCTAAGAGAAGCTAAAGTAAAAATTGATTTTCGATTTTATTTTTTGACATCTCATATTGAAACAAAAGAAAATGCAATTAGTTTACATTTATGTATGTGATACTTCTTGTAAATATGTTTTAGAAATAAAGCATTTGTTTAAACTACATTAGCTATTATTCAGTTATGACTAAGGTGTTAAAAGTCTTAAGACAAAAGACTATTTCTCTCTCTAGATTGTCTTTTACTAAGTATTTCGCCACTGATATCAATGATGGGCAATGTCTAAGCGATAGACATCCACCGGTCTATTGTAGCCGTTATCATTGACCCAAATACAATCAAGCTTTGCGCACAAACACTTTCAAGATTTCAACACGGGGCAAAGGTATGTTTTTATTGTATATAGCGTATATGTGTTTATATATATATATAATATTATATATATATTATATTTATATAAAGCAATGTGTGCCCGTCTGTTCGTCTTGATTTTGCATGGGTTGTCCCCGCTAGGATATGATTTTGCCTCTGGTCTTTCCTGCTATGGCGACTACGTTGGGTCTAAACAGTGTGATAGACAATGGATAGGATGGGGCGTTACAAACGCTCACTAAATTGAATCAGGCGTGTCCGCCGGCGTCCTGGTAGGGTGCGATTAGGCTGCAAATAAAAATTTCTGTTTCGGCCTCCAAATGCTCACATGGGCCGCTGAGGGCCATGTAATACGTTTTATTTTAATAATCAGTTACGTTAACACAATGCATCAGTCAAACTGATGTTTAAAACGCGTCAAATAATTTTTTTTTCGTGTTAAAGAAAAAATCCTATTCATTTGTGTCACTTTAGCGAATGACGAAATCTGCATCATTGTTAACAGGATGCTATTTTGCACTCTGGGTTATCCTATGAACACGATGGCGCCTGTTAGTTTTAAGGAGCCAGGGGCCGTACGCTGCGCCTATGCGGTAGTGTAATCGAGGAAGTGGGGGGGGGGGGGCTCCTGAGAGCGCCCCACTACGTCCCTGACACATGGGCGGTCATCGAAGTGTGTTTTTCCTCATTATTTCGGTGAGTGATTAATGTACACTCAAGGCTTTCACGCGGTAGTGTAGGTAAACCCGTGTCCCGATAGCTATGTTCCAAGCTCAGCCATTGTTTACATTTAAATAACTCACTTTTAGAAAACAAAGTTACGCGTCTAAAATTATAGGATTGGTAACGCATGGATGAAACCCTTCTTATACATTTTGTCTGACTTTCTTTAATTCCCGCGGCAAGGCTAGTACGCTAGTATATGTATCAGTGGCGTAGCGAGGTCGGGTGTCACCCGGTGCGGCACTTAATGATGTCACCCCCCCAGAGGCGTAGCGACCCTTCCCGGGGACAAACTTTCAAGTTTTCGATTTCCAACCCCCCCCCCCCCCGTCAAACTTTCGATTTGCACCCCCCTCAAGTTTTCGATTTGCACCCCCCTCCCTCAAACTTTCGACCGCCCCCCCCCCCCTCAAATTCGATTTGCACCCCCGCCTCTAGTTTTTCTCTATGTATTTTGCTATTTTTTGCCTTAGTGTCACCCCCATCCCCCCCCCCCCCCCCTTCCTTCCTTCCTTATACGGAAACCGGCTCAGAAGGTTGACTTCCATTAGCCAGGCAGGCCTCAGTGTGGCAAACCCCGAGAGAGTTTCCCACACATTGGTCGCTACTTCCGTGGGCTCTCACCGGGCTTTCCTTCCCCACCCACAAGACGCGGGACGTCGTCCTACCGCCTGGTACCCAGCTTGATATATATATATATATATATATATATATATATATATATATATATATATATATATATATATATATATATATATATATATATATATGAAGAGTTGATTTTCAAAACGCGATAAGCGCCATTTTTGAAAAAAATGAGATAAGGTGCCCATATTGTAAAGCTACTCAGTTACTATTAAGAAAACTTAATTTTAATCTTCACGGCGCAAAATTTTCATTTTATTTCTATTTTTGAAAAAAACGTTTGGTTTCAAAACGCTGCATTGTCGATTTTATTTAGCGTCAAAATGCGGTATCGATTCGGACCAATCCGTGTAAATATTAGTATTTATCTGCGCATGCGCATTAAGCATCTCTAAGTGAAACAATTGTTAAAATGGCGGACTTTGATGGTCACGACGAAAGTGTTGTACTGACATTTAAGTCCAGAAAAAAGAAGAGGTCATGCACAGAAAGAGAAAAAGAAAAGATCTTTCGTCATTCAGGAGGAGGAATGATCCCGTCCATTTCGTGTAATCATATTAAAGGATTCTGCAAGGTAAGTTGTAGATAAAACTGTAACTTATCTAACACTAGGCAGGCCTGAGTTTACTTATTTTATATTTTTAAACACGATAGTATTACTAGAATTTAGATATCTAGCTTGTTCTTTTATTTGTTGAGTGAAGTTTTGAATGTAAATGTATGAATACCAGTAGGTCTAGGCTACTGTCAGCTCTAGCTTAACATTCCAAAAGTAGGGAGAGATTCTAGATCTAATTCTAGTCTAGATTATCTACTCTACTACATATTCTAGATCTAGTATCTAGGCCTACTATTTTTTTAGCTAGACGAAAGTTTTAACAATTCTAGTCAATATTATATCTAAACTTCGATTTATCATCTAGGTTGTATGTCCTCGTTTGTCTAGTCTAGCAATAACTTTAAGTAAGGCAAGGGGCTAGCCTTAGCTACTAGATCTAACTAGTAGTATAATTTTTAATATAAAATTAAATCTTCCATTGTAGTAAAACATACATTTGTATTATTTATTTCAGGCTCAAGATATAACACCTGATGACCTGGTGAAATGCCATGCAGAGTTTTACAGCAAATTGAACAAAGTGTCACAAGATGCTGCTATAGTAGCTTTGCTTGATGCGGACACCACGAAAAGAGTGAATGATCAGAGGAAAAACACAAGACACATGACGATCAAATCTTTTCTTTGTAGTGATGGAAACAAGCTGCAAGTTTGCCAGTCTTCTTTTGTTCAGCATTGTGTACGTAAATAGCTTTACCTTCAGTTTGCTATATTGGATTTGCTCGTACTGCAGTTACTGTCAATAAAAAACTGACTATTGTCCAGAGGTTTATCCGATTATGGAAATTCTCTTTTTTCAATGTTACAGTGGAATTATCTTAATAATACATGGTTAATATATCCACTTTTTTAGGGAAAAACTGGGATTCATTCAACACAAAGGAGCCTGGAAAAAAGAACTGTGTAAAGGTGGCTAAAAAGACAGATGTTCTTTGTGTTCTCGAAGCCGTAGGAGTGGAGGAGAGAATAAAGATTTCTTATGAGGCACTGCTATGTGATGCTACTGAGGATGTTGCTCATTCTAACTCTGATGTAGATAGTGCCTAGTTTGTCTGAATTATTTATTTTTTCTTGCTTCACTCATTTTTTTTTTCAACTTTTTTTTTTTCATTTCATACTATTTCTTTTACATTTTATGATTGTAGTATAAACTAATAAACTTTTTTCTTCTTTTAAAACTATTTTATGTTGACTTTTTTAGTTCTTTAGTCTTTGTTAACACAGTTCAACAGTAGAAAAGACAAGCTGTACTCTTCAAATTTAAGTCTCTCGTTAGAGACTTGCATCATTTTGAAAATGGTTCAAATAACTGAAATTACTCAATAAAAACACTTTACAGTAACAGAAAAACATAGTACAATTGTAGTAAGATGGTAACACTGGGAATATAAGTGGGTTTTAATAAAATAATAAACTAAAATATTGGACATTAGATGTATTATCAGAAAAAAAATGGATATACTGCGTTTTGTAGCTTAACAAAAGCTGGATATACCTCATTTTGCAACTAAACGCAAATTTTGGGACCAAAAAAAAGCATCTTTTTATGCAGGTACATTTCAAAAACCATTCTAGTCCTATTTATATGAGGGTTATGAACCTAAATTGATAAACAGTTTTAGCAAATTGTACAATGGCTTCGTGTAGGAGAAAAGTGCGATTTTCTCGAAACCCAAATTTTGGATATATTGCATTTTGAAAATCAACTCTTCATATATATATATATATATATAAGTATATACATATATATACATTAGCTTGTTACTAATGTTTTATGATGCTCTTGCATGAGTAATATAAGTTAATGACGAACATATCTATCATTATATACATTGAGTGTTTAGTTCATCCATGTTCAATTGCATTTAAAAGTAAAAAAAAATATAACCTAAACAGAACTATTTATAAGTATGATTTTAAAATTGTTTAAATTTATGTTTTTAATTTATGTTCTCAGGTGAAACACATACATTGTTGATGTACACATTTAGCGTAAAGAAAGAAATATCAATAGAAATGTTTGACGCCTATTTCATCTCTGTGATGTTGTTAAATTGTCTGGTACTGAGCATGCACAGTGTTTAGTGGTAGAAATGGTTGAAAAGGTTGGTTCATCTATTTAAGTTTTTGTGATTACTAGCAGTTTATCATCAATGTATATCATACAACTAGATCTAGGTGTCTATAAATGTAAAAACTAATGCATGTGTAAGACTCGTTTCAAGCTTCACTTCTTTGCAGGCTGCTTTTTTTTCTAACTGGTTAATTTTGACTAATAATTCAGGAATAGGCTACTATATATAATGTGTAGTAAGAAAAAGTAAAGAACCGAGTGCTACATATGTTTGAATGACAAACAATGCTACAGCGTAGAAAATGGCAAGATTGCATATGTGACAAGCGTTGAATTTATTTTAATGTGCATAAAGGCAAAGTAATCACTAAGTTTATGGGTATACTGAATTAAGCTTATTTAACAAAAGGATGATATGTAACTAAAATGAATGTCGACAGTTTAAAAGCTATTTGTGTATTTCAGATATTTTCCATTATTAATTATTGTTCATGAACGGTTTTTTTTAAAGATAATAGCTTTTAAATAATTTTTTTTTTGCAGATATTAATAGAAAACACTGATGAAATGCTAATAAAAAGTATCGGGGTGCTTGGTGAAGGTAATATTCGAGTGTAATTTTACCACTCATTTTGTTTGTGTTATAAAATAAAATATATAAAAGGTATAAAAGCTTTTATAACAACACGCTTTTAAAGACGCATAATTAAACAAGAAAATAAATAATCATTGTTTAGCAAAAGCATTAATCGCTCAATATACTAGTGATTTCATAAGCGTCCAACGATTTTCTGAAGTAAGGAAGTAGGATTTATATTAATTTAATAGATTAAAACGCTTGTTGTTATAAATGTTTTATTCATGATAATTACATCATAATTCTTTTTAATATTTTGTCAGATTGGGAAAAGGGTGACTGGATTGGGGATGGAGGTTTCGGCACAGTTTACCTGGTGAAGTCTTTGAGAGACAACATTGAACCGAAATATATTGTGAAAGAAATTCGTGTCTACAAAAACAGCGAACGGAAAAATATTGTGGTTCGTTAGTAGCAGTGCTAAACCTATTTTAAATTAATACTCATTTATAATAATAACCTATTTTTGTAACATTCATTATAACAGTAAAATTAAACTAGCTAGTTTGTTGAAGAGTCTAGACAGAGAATGATTTTTTGAAATTGTTTATGTACTATTTTAATATAAAATTTTGTATTAACATTTAAGTGTGTAGTTAGTAAATTAGTTCGAACATATTAAAAATGTCGCTTTTTTAGAATTACATTTCATCTAATTTTTATACTTAAATAAATATAAGGAGAGCTACAAAAATGAGACTGAAATATTGAAAAAAATTGGTTGCCACAAAAGAATCGTCCCGTTTATCGGCGCAAGTAAATGTGACGATATCCTGTCAATTTTTATGGGGTATATGAAACAGGTATGATTATAAATATGTGTTGTTTTTATTGGTTTATATGCTAGAGAGAAGTATTTAGTTCATTTTCATATTGTTATCTCCATGGCCTTGATGTAAAAGCACCCAAACTTCCTTTACTCATCACATGTCGAAATACACCACCATACCACACCGTAGCCAGAAATTCCACCTATTAGTAATGAAATAACCAATACTTTTCTTTGGGTCATTGTATGCGTATGGGTATATTTTATCTAAAATACACATGCTACGAAAGCTTAGGCTAAAATCCATCAACGATACCGGTTTAAAAGAAAATATTACGGATATTTAGATATATCCTAGTACTTTGGAGTTTATAGTTATTAGTTACTAGTGTTGTTTTGTAAAATAATCCTAATGCAATTTATACACAAGAAATGAAATTTGGTAATTTTCCAATTAAGATTATATATTATTATGATACATGCTTGTCTTGTGCTGGTATGTTTAATTAAATTGAAAAATAAAAAGTTGTCTATCTTATTTTGGCCTACATAAATCTTCTCAAATATGTCAAGGCCAATGTCTGATATAGGCCTATAGTAAACAATGCGTGCATTTAAAATATGGTGTATATTGGTTGGCGTTGTCTAGTAGGTAAAGCTCATGGTTGCTAAACCGAAAACTCTCGAATTCGATCCTTCGGGCAGATGTGGTTTGTTAGATGGGGACAGCCACTCTTCTAGGAGACACAACTTCATAATATGAGAACTGCTGCCTTGTAGTATGTTTTTGGATGGACAAAGACTATTGAAGCAAATCCAAAAAGAAAATGAGGCTGAAATCGAAGTAAAAGGCCTCAATAGTGCATTACCAGTTGACATATAATATGTATTTGTTTCTAGCGGATCCCTTCCAACACTAAATTTAAAACCGAAGAAGAAAAGTATCTAACTTATTAAAATAAAATGATTAATTTGGAGGATGATTTTTTTCATGAGTGTTCTTTTTTCCTTGATTGATTTAAACAAAAATGTCTTTACTACAAACAATTTTTCATCATTAAACATTAATTACTAATACTGCTTTTAAGGGCTCATTACGAACATATTCGGAAAAGAAAAATGGGTTAGGAGAAGAAGAGACACGACGCTTTACTAAACAGATTTTAGAAGGGCTGGAGTTTTTACATATAAACAAAATTATACATCGAGATGTAAAGGGTATGTTTTACACAATGGTATATGAGATAATGTATGCATGTGGTGATTATAAACATGATTAATTACGCTAGCAACCCCATCCTGAGTTATGATAACCCCCATGTCACATCGTGTGCAATTCAGCAAGACTGACAATAGTTAATTGAATGTAAGGTGTTAGAATGTTAGATGTTTATATTTTCTTGACTGAAGTAGATACAGAAGTTATTTAAACCGTGTAACAAATCGAAATTCGGCGTGTGTTTACAGGGGATAACGTTCTAATGGAAGATGAGCGCCATGTCAGACTTACGGACTTTGGGATTTCAAAAATTCTACAAGATGTTTCAAGTACAGCAACGTCTGTTGGCACAGAAAGATGGATGGCACCAGAGGTTATGGGTTTACAAACAGGCGCTACATCATATAATGAAAAGGCAGATATATGGTAAACTTCTGTAGTAATGTCATTTTTTTTTAAAAATATTTCTTTGTTTGTACATTCTTCATATTCCTTCCTGCAGCTGTTTCCCAAATCTGGTATCCTCCGTTATTACTTAAAAGTTTTTATACCCTTGAGATATTCTCAACTTATTTCTAAATTTACCTGCCAATCTGACAAAATGTGTACCATTGAGTAAAATAGATTCGCAGATAGACACACATACAATTGCTCATTTATGCAGATACTAGCGTGTTTATCGCGTGTTGGTTCGGTCTCAGAATAAAAGAAATGCAATTACATTAGCCATGATAACAATCAATTTACATAGTTTCCATATATATTCAAACTTTTACAAACTTATCTCACTCATGCAAAATTGTATGAGGGTTTTACCGACAAATTCATCATTCTTTTTACCCGTTAGTGCCCTAGACACATGAAGCAAATGAAGTAGTGTTTATTTGTTTTAGAGACCTCGGCATCTGAAATAATAGTTGGGTCAGCACTATCCCCAGCCGCCTTTGTTTCCGTAACGTTAGTTAGGTAATTATCAGAGCTAGGTGGACGGGCCGTTCTACTGACAATGCATTAATAATCGTGTATTATAAGATGCACTACCTTGTTTTCAAAACGGGGTTAAATGCATACAAAGCCGGTGCTATGTTTCTCAGATTATATTTATTGGACAGCGGGTTTTTTCCCACAATACCCACCGTACGTCTTAAAGCTTTACGAAAGCGTAAGACAGAACCACATTATAGCAACTGCTCATAAGTCAGAGGCGTCGTGCGAGCTCTCTGGAACCAGTGGTTATATCACCGTAGAGGTATCGGTTGCCTCAACTCTTAGATTTAGACATAGAATGTCGAGTGTCACCGGGTCACGATAGTAGAATAATTCTGAATCGAACGTAGTCGCCATAGGCCGTTGTGTAGTCGGTGGAAACGCCTTGTACGATCCCTTACAACTTGTACCGAACGCCTAATCAATGGATCCCGTTTTATATGATAGTTGCCAAGAAACTCTGGGTCTTAACATGTTACCAATTGTTATTTTTAAAGTAAAACTTGTCGGAAGAAACTCATATTTTTGCTTCATCAACGTATTTTAATCGTTAGTTTTAGAAGCGCAAGCTTGTTTTTAACTCATCTAACAGAAAGTTTAGTTTCGATATAGCAGAAATTCATATATTCAAGACAAAATATTCTAGGCTTAGTTATCCTTCAAAAGATTTTTGGTCTGTATTAGTTTATTTCCCATTAGAAATATCTCCAGGGATTTGTTTTGTCAATATCCCAAAGTTTCAAGAAAATCGGATTAATTGTGTTGCAATGCATTTAAAACACACCCAATAGGAAATAAACTAATGTAGACCAAAAATCTTTTGAAGGATAACTAAGCCTAGAATATTTTGTCTTGAAAGACAAACGTTTATTTATCTATCTATCTATCTATATAAAAAGCAATGTATGTTTGTTTGTTTGTTTGTTTGTTTGTCCTTTGTGCATTACCACACCTCTTATCACATCGCCGTGAAACTTTGGGAAGTTGTTAAAAATATTCCGGGAAAGGTTTCGGCGAAAAAAAAAATTTCAAATTCGCAGGGGTGGCGCCCCGGCAGGGCGCGATTTGTTTTTTCTCTATATACGATATATAAAAAATAAAAGTCGAATTTGACAAAGGCGGCGCCACGGGAGGGTGCGATTTTCCTCAATATACGGTATATAAAAATAATAAAAGTAAATTGCAGTGACACCGTTCACACGATCGCCATGAAACTTTGGCAATATGTTGAGAATATTTCTGGGGAGGTTTCTGCTCAAAATCTATATACTACTAAAAGTCAAGTTTGTTTACATGTTTGAATATTTATTTGTTTGTTTGTCCGATCGAAAATTGTGATATGTTCGACTCTATCTGGAAAGCTGTAAAATAGTATGCAGGTAGAGAATAATTTTTTAATGCAGACAGACTGTTGATCACAAATTTATTTAAAGACGTTAATTAATTAATTGATTTATTCATACGCAGAGTAACCCATTTTTTTTTAAAAGATTTGAAAAGCCACTAGACTCGACGGAAACAGTGACGTCACATGATGTGTTTATTTTTTTACATCGATAATGGCGGCCTATCGAAGAAGATTGTGTTCCCATTCCAATGTTTAACGCGTTCTAAAGCTAATTTTCTGTCGGCTTTAACTTTAACAATACGTCCGTTTGCTGTATTTATTACGTTCCAACACTCATATCAATTTTCAACTGTCTTTTTCATTTAGTTTTACAATAAATTTCTCTAGATCTAAAGATCAGCTGTCGAAGGAAAGTTATTTATAGATCTAGATCTAGAATCTAGAATCTAGGTCAAATCAATGATTTATTAGTTATAAATACAATCCAAAAAAAAACGAGACTTTAGCAAACCAGTCGTAGATCTAGAATATAGATAATTCTATCTAGATTTAGATAATAATGAGTTTCTATATACTAAACTATTTTAGACCTTTATTATTTTATATAAATCTTTGTTTGTATAGCTATGAAATATGCTAATTAGGAAATGCTGGATGCAGGGCCTATTTGCATAACTTTAGATTCATACGCGGCTTCTATACCGCTAAGTGTGCAAAATTATAGACGTAAACTCTAGATATAGCTAAGTCGTAGATCTAAAATATAGATAATTTTCTATCTAGATTTAGATAATAATGATTTTCTATATACTAAACTATTTTAGACCTTGATTATTTTATATAAACTTTGTTTGGAATATGGTAATTTTGAAATGCTCGCTCCGGGCCTATAAGCGTAGCTAATGATTAGATCTAGATTCTAGGTCTAGCAAGAAAAACTAAACATAAGAAGACTTAAGCAAAAGAGTCGTAGAATCTAGACTAGATCTAGATAATTCTATCTAGATCTAGATAATTTCAGACCTTCTTTATTGTATATAAATCTTTGTTTGGCTAATTTAAGATAAAATTTAATTTGAAAGTTACTACTACTAGAGTTAGATCTAGATCTATGCGCGTAAGGAGACTCAAATTATAGTATAAAACTTCACTTGAAATGTCACGAGTAAATAGCTAACTTGGTAGTGAGGTCGGCTCTCATGCGGGTGGTACAGGTTCAAGACCAATTCGTTAATGATTTTTTTTTCATTTTTTTTTTAGATGTGAATAATAAAGTTGCCTATCTGAACTTGGCAGGATACAGGGCTGGTGAAGTAGAGTTTGTCTGTTTCTTTGTCCTAAGCATATGAAAGGATAGTGTGGTCAGAGACATGCTCGGCTGGAATCGTTTTTAAACGATAAAAACATGTTGTCTGAGACTTGGCGGGACACTGGGCAGGTGAAGTAGAGTTGAGTAGGTCACCTATGAAGTCAGTATATGAAGGGATAGTCCGAAATCGGTGTTTTCGGTGTTTTTAAAAGATAAAAAACAAATTTTTGAAAGTGGGGTCTGTTTTTTTGTGACGATAAGTGACACTGCAGTAGCGTAGCGAGGAGGGGGGGGGGGCGGGAGGGGGAGGGGAGGCGGGAGGGGGGGGGGGTGGGGAAGGGGGGGAGGTGGAGGGGGGAGGGGGGGCGGGGGGACATATGTTGGGGCGCCAAAATTAAATTGAAAGGTTGAGGGGGGTTCAAATCGAAAGTTTGAGTGTGGGGGGGGGGGGTGCACATCAAAAGTTTGAGGGGGGGGGTTGAAAATCGAAATCTTGGGGGGGGGGGGGGGGGTTAAAATAGAAAAGTTTGTCCCCGGGCGCCGGGAAGGGTCGCTATGCCTCTGAGTGACAGACGTGATGTTTTTTGATGGATGACCCCCGAAACCCACAGTTATCCAACGGATGACGGGTATTCTAGTACATTTTCAAATTCGCAGGTCGCGATTTGTTTTCTTTCTATATACGGTATATAAAAATAAACGTCGATAGCGATTTTACACCGTTCATCCAATCGCCATCAAACTTTGGAAAGTTGATTAGGACACTCTTGGGACGGGCTCTGTAAAACAAAATCATTTTTTATTTCGCAAGGGCGGCGCCACGGGATGGTGCGATTTTTCTCTATATACGGTATATAAAAATAAAAGACGATTGCGGTTTGACGCAGTTTATCCGAGTGCCATACAACTTTAGGGAGTTGATGAATACTACCGATAAGTTATCTGGGGTGGAGGTGGGAGGAGGAGGGAGGATTTAATGTTGCATTTGCGGCCCCACTGAGAGCGCCCCTTTACGTCTCTGCCACGTGGGCGGTCACCGAAGTGTGTTCTACCATATTAATTCGGTGAGTGATTAATGTACACTCAAGGTGAAATCCTTCTAATATATTTCGTCAAACTTTCTTCTATCCCCGCGGCAACGCACGGGGGACGGGTACGCTAGTAAAGATATAAAAATTACAGTATCATCACGTGTAGGGCCTACAAATAGTGAAGAATTTTAAAAATATTTATTAAAATAGAAAATTCTATAAATTTAAAGATCCGTGCATTTGTTTTACTACTTAAAGTAATAGATTTGTATGAAGTATTAGTATGTATAAATCTAAACTTTGTAGTTTTTTTTATGTATCATCTGACGATTAAAGCAAATAAAATTTAAACATTTGTTGTACAAAATGGTAGAATTGACCGAAGTATATTTAAACTTTATATAAGAAAATCTCCGAGCAGAATCATTAGTTTCATTTTGTTAGCATTTACTAATAAAGCTGCGTTTTATATAGAAAATATATACTTTTACCAGTGTCCGCCCCCCCCCCCCCCCCCCCCCCCAAATATTTAGTCCTCCCCCCCCCCCCCCCCGGGAGAAAAAAATGTCCTGGAAGAATTACTGCCGTATAATTATAACCAAGTTATTTTGCTCTTGATATTTTTAATTTACACCTTTATAACAATTGCATTATATTATTATTTAGAAATTGCGATAATTAATAGTAACGTTTATCGATTGATATTATCATAAATAGGCTGACTGTCAACTCAAAGAACCTGTATGCTAATCTATCGCTGGTGAAAATATTGTAACTTTATCTATGTGGATAAACTTAGCTAAAAATAACTTTTACATCTCTTAAAGGAGTGTTGGCTGCACTGTCATAGAGATGATGACAGGAAGTTCTCCGTACTGTGATATCCCAAAACATCAAGTCCCATTTCAAATTGATAAGGGTATTTTACCTACATTAGGAGCATCTATTGTTCCAACAAAGGAACTCAGCGACTTTCTACAGAAAACATTGCAACTTCTACCGAAAGATCGACCCGCGGCGAAAGATCTGCTTGGGAATGACACTTTTATAAACCGTAAGTTTATTACAGAAAATATCCAGATAGATTACATATTGCAGTTTATTTTAAAAAATCGTCTTATCGTTTTGTAATTTGTTAAGTTTCTATAAACATTTTCAATAATGTTTAAAATCTCATTGTGTTTTGTATGTCTTTTTTACCAAACAGGTGGACTTTTCATTACAGAGTTAAAGCTTGAACTAGGTAAATATAAAAACATACAATTTGTACTGCGAGATTTACCGTCGCAAATTCGTTTCGGGGTTCAAACTTAAAAAACTTTCTGCTAGAATGCACTTTGGAGGGTGTGGAAGGCGTGAAATAAAATTTGTAAAATGTCATGTCAAACTGATTTTAGTATTTTCAATTGTAAAATCTTTAAAAATAACGGGCTCTTTCTAATATACTTTGTTTTTGTTTTTTAATTTTTAACAATGCACGATTTAATTTGTCGTTATTGTTAAATGTTTAGCGTTAGAACCATTGTAATTTAGACAATATATTTCAATAAATTTGAAAAAAATCATATGCAACAGATAAAATCTCTTTTCCAGTAATCATTGCTTTAAAAAATATTTCATGTAAATTCTTTTAAACAATTAATTTAATCTAACAGGTTTTTTTTCAATAATCAAAACAATATTATTTGTACATTATTCCCGTTCTTTAAAATTAATTTTAAAAATTGCTTAATGAAAGCAGCCGTAAAGGCTTAATATTGTAAGATATTTCAAATTATTTGAAACCGATAAACTTAAAACTTCCCTTAAATGCTAATTAATCAAAACAGGATTTGTATCGAAATCATAATTATTGATCTCTTGTATATTCTAACATTTTATTGTAGACAAAAAAGAAACAGAAATCAGACACCTTGAAGAGCAAGTGAAATATTTTCAGGACAAAATGCATATTGGTAATGTTAATAAATATTGAATAGATTATGTTAAGAGATTGGTAATGTGTTTTGTTAAACTATTTGATACTTGTTTGAAGTATAATATGACAACTCACCCACATAGAAGTTCATGCATTAAAACAGATTCACCGAAAAACATTTACACACTACCATTCATACATGCCCACACCCAGACTGAATCTCATAAAATAAACCATGCATATAGCCAAACTTTTGCAGTTTGAGAATTTTACAAACAAAACATGTGTTACCAAATATACTACAAAAAAACAACATCTTAATAACTTTAAAGAACAATGTGCGTGACTATTTTATGTATTACATACTATCGAATTTAAGATGCGACCCATTTTTTTCTTTTTAGTTGTTTAAATAGGGGTGCATTATTTTTAAGGTTGCTGTAAGAGGGTCGTGTTTAACTAGAGACGATTTACTAAAACATATTTTATTAAACGTCTTATATGAATTTTTACAAAGATGTTTTTACTTGCTTCGTGCTTCTTTCGGTATGGGTCGAAAATGGCTTGCAAAAGTTAGATTTCTTCTACCGGACCGATTTCTTTCAGACGTGGTACGTAGCTCAACGCCTAATGACAATGTAAAGTAACATGAAATTTGACTTGATTGGATTTTTAATTCATTTGAATAATTTAATTAATATTATCTTTATAAAGTACATACGTTTTTTTAAAGGGTACGTTTTCTGCGTTCATCTGGTGCGCAAATCTTTCAACATATATGATTACAATACGTTTCACATAGCTTCACTTTGGTTTTAAAAAACAATTGCCGAATATCTTACCTTATATATAACCACTGCCTTGTTAAATCCTCCAACATAAAAGCAGTTAAGAAAGCACAAGAAGAATAAATATAACCCAGCAATAATGCTAACCAATAGCAAACATTACTATATTTTCTAATTTTAAACAAAATTAAATAAACGAACAATTAATTTTTTAACGATTAAAAACAAAGATGCCCTTCTCTTTTACTGCCAATATTTATCTGATTTAATAAATGTGGGTGAGAAAGCGTGATCGAAGGAGTATAGAGAGGGTTGTAATGAGGGTTGCATGACCGCCCTACCGAAAGTCTTCTGAGCAGTGCCTGCAACAAAGATTGTTGAAGTTCTCTGGGTCTAAGTACTCGATATTCGCATACCGTAGGCTAGAGAACGACAAAGTGAAATGCCAAAGAAATTATCAAACCATACCCCGTCATGTAAAGGTGGCAGAAACAGATAAAACAAACTTCAACATTAACAAAATGTTATTCTCTCCCGTACGATTAATCGTGAATAGTTTAGTTTATTTTTTAGTTTATTTTCATTTATAAATATATTACATCATTTATATGACTTATAACATCAGTTTTTCTTGTAATATTCGCTCGAGTATTACACAATTTATCATCGGCCTGTGAGGACTGGAACTGATTTACTATTGAATCAGGCTTACTTTTTTTCTGACATGTAGGCCTACTTTCATTTACAAAAAATGGTTCATTATATATTCTAAAAAAAAAAACGGGATTGATCTGCCCTAAACTTTCTCGAATATTCATATATAACACTACGGTGGATGGAAACTCGAGATATAGACAATATAATATTAAATCCATTTTTAATTACTTAAACTTTTAAAACTATATCCGTCATCACAAAAAAAATGATAACATATAACACTAATTTTTTAGTTTTTTCTTTTATTTTGTTACTACTCTAAAATTACTAAATATTGTCGGTTTAGATTTTGGCTTTAGATTAGTATAAAAATCCATTTAGAAAATATTACTTTAGAAAGTTATTTCTCTTACATATTAGCTTGAATGAAGTTTTAATAGTGCACTAAAAGGTATACATTTTAGAGAAAACATTAATTAACTCTTTGAAATTAATTAATCACAATTTAAAATCAGAAGTCAATGTAATATTTTATTGTCATTTGGTCTTGACCATAGGGGATTTGACCACAGGTGTTTTTTTCAGCAGAGGTTTTTTGAGCATAGGTGGTTTGTCATTGGGTGTATGATCACAAGCGCCGTGTCCGCCTTTGACCACAGGTGTTTTATCCACGTAGGGTCTTTGATCACAGGTTTTTTTGTTCATACAGTGTTTTTGATCACAGGTGGTAATGTCCATATAGGGTCTTTGATCACAGGTGGTTTGTCCAATGTTGGCGTTTGATATCTAGCGCTTTGTCCACAAATTGTAAGGATTAATTATAAAAGTTGTGTAATTATATTTTAAATTGAGGCAGGATGTAAATAATATGTTAATTCAACATGTATAAATTACAAGTCATCAGAACCATACTAGTATTACTTCTTTGACTGTACTGGGCATGTTTTTTTTATCCTTTTCTATCCTTTATATTTATGTACTTTCAAATAAATCTACATTATTTATTGGTGAAACTTGTTAATTGTCGCATTATTTGTGTTCCATTTATATTTAAAATAAATCTATGATACCTAGCACCAGCCTTTATGTGGAGACTAAAATATAGTTCTTGACTTCTTTTTAGTACATGTTAATTTCTATTAAACATGTATAATAACATTTATAAAATCGTATTAATTGTGTCATAAATTTAAATCAAACAACAATTAATAATTTTTATTTTAAAGGCTATATATTATGGTTAACCCACCTCTGTGGTCAAAGCCCCGTTGTGGCCAAAGCCCCTCTGTGGTCAAAGCCCCGCTGCGGACAAAGCCCCTATGGCCAAACCCCCTATGGTCAAAGCTCCGATGTGGTCAAACCCCCTATGGCCAAACCCCCTATGTTCAAAGCACCTAGGACTTGACCCACGTGCCTAATTTTTACAAAATCGGTTCGTTAAAAGTGGTCATAGTTTCACTCGCCAGTTTCGGCTCATGTCAGAGGGACAAAGTCCGACAGACAAAAGCATGATAAATCATGCTAAATAAAAACGTGTAATATAGATAATTTAGGAATTTCTGTTGTAAATAATATACAGAATCATACATAATTACGCTCATATTTGTTATAACTATAGTTAAATTATTTCTTTAATCTTATAACTTATAAATCTTATAAATATACATTATGTATTTTACTGTTCTTTCAGAAGTGAAGTATACACTGGTGTTGGTTGGAAAAACAGGCTACGGTAAAAGTGCTTCGGGTAATACATTGTTGGGAAGTCGAGTTTTTCACGATTACAGGGGTATTGATCCAGGAACCATAAATGTGTGTAAAGGTAAAGCTAAAATACAACAAGAGTTATTTGAGGTTTTCGACACGCCAGGTATTTTTAGAACTGACATGTCAGTTGGAGAAGGTGCATTGTCAAATGCCACAGAAATCATGAATAGATCTAAGAGAGGGGTTACTGCTTTTTTGTTTGTTTTCATTTATGGTTATCATTTTACGAAAGAAAACGCAATGGCCATTAAAATGTTAACAGATATTTATGGTCCCGAAGGTATAAACAAGTATGGCATATGTTTAGTGACTCGTGGAGATTATTTTGATTACGATTATGGCAATAAACTTACATTTAATGAATGGTGTGAGCAACAAGATGGCAAACTAAAATATTTTCTTTGTCAATTTAACAAAAGAATAGTTTTAATGTATAATAAAGGAAATCAAATTGAACGTGAAAGATGCCGAGATGAAGTTTTTGATATTGTTAGACAACTTAGTCAACAACAAGATTCTTACACTAAACAAGATTTTATGAAACAAGCAGCCTTTCATAAGGAACATAAATTGAGGTTGAAAATTTTAAAATTTCACAGAAAAGTTCGAAACATTACAAGCGAAAATTACTTAGAATTACTAGCTACAGCTGACAAACTGATAACCAAAAAGACTATACTAAACCCTGGCATAGAGGATAAAGAAGTTATTACATTAAAAAAGGTCAGAAAAAAATTGCAAGATATTATCAAGTAGCCTTCAAATAAAAAATCTGTGTTTAAAAAACGGCTTCTTCCTTCATAAATCTTGTATTGGAAGAGATTCCACCCAGCATAATGAAGTTTTACGTGCCAAACTCTTATGCTCTATAGGATTTCAACATTTATTTCTGTCTGCTTTTTTTTTTGGGATTTGCTTTCATAGATTTCGTCCAATCAATAACAAACTATCAGACAAGTTATTTTTAATTCTGTGGTTGTTTCTCCTAGATGAGTAGCTATCGATCTCCCTATGCCCGAGGGTTCAAACTCATGACGTTTCGATTCAACAAACGTGAGCTTAACCGCCACGAACCCATGAGAAATAAGACGAATATGTAAACGTTATTATTATATACCTCTTAGACGCATGGTCTGGCAGTTGAATACGCGATTGCTAACGATATCGTAAGGTCGTTCCCTGCCGTAACTACTTCTAATGTCTAACTATGTGGTGTCCGTGCACTGGGGACAGGAATTGAAATTACTAGGTCTAGCTAATAGTAACTTTGTTACCAATCTGCTTGGCTAATGAACAATAAGATGAAGTGATATGCCGTCGTGATAATTTGATACATTGAGTTGGTTTATAAATATGCATTTGTATAATTGTATGTATACTCTAGTAGGGGATTACATGTTTAAAGGTATATGCATTATATTTTACTTGTTGGTCTCCAATCTTAATAACATTTATTAATAATTAAGTCTGCTGGGCTAATGAACATAAAGATGGAGTGATATATCATTATAATATTTTGATACATGTTTATCAATGTGTATTTGTATAATTTTATGTCAAATTCAGTGAGGGATTAAATGTTTTAAGGCATTCCTTGTTGGTGTCAACCAATTAGCGTCAAGTGTCCCCAAAAACATGTATAACTTATTAGAACTAAACTAAAGTAATCATGAGGTGTATTTTGATAATTTCTTAACAATTTGTGTTTGAACTAGTTTCGTGAACAATTGATATATGTTGTATAATCTTTCCTTTTCTTCAGTACTTTGTATAATATTATTTTCAGCGTGTATCGTGTATCAAATCTATATATTATATTTTTAGATTTATTTAACCAGGTTTATTTGTTAATAAAATTGTTGTGCTCTGTTTTATGTTGTTTTCCGTTTATCTTGATTTTTATAGCGCGCTGTTTTTACATACTTTCTTATAGTCGGCTCGTAATGTATGTGTAATATAAAGCCGGAATCAAAGCATTTTTCAATGTGTGCTGAAATGTGGTAAAAAAATTATTGGATTATTTTAAATTAATTGTACTCCACAAATAAGGGTAAAATAGAATTTAGAATACCAGTGGCGTAGCCAGGATCTTCTCATGGGGGGTCGTTCAAATTTTTGTAATCTCTTATATATATATATATATATATATATATATATATATATATATATATATATATATATATATTAGTAGACTGTATTACTAAATTTTAAATTAATTATTTAAACCATTTCTTAATTTAGTAATGTAACCTATTTCATCGCAAAGTATATCACGGGACAAAAAAATTCAAAAATTTTCTCTAACTTATTTTGAGCGGTATGAGTTACGTGCTTTAAAAACGTTTATATCTTATTCCTACCTTTTATT